ACTAATGCATGAAAATCCTAACCTCAAAAAAATCACCCGTTAGTTAAAAGTGGTAATGAGTAAATTCGACTTCTGGATAATTTGATTAATTGAACTCAACTTCAACTTTTTGGGTGGATTTATTTTCGGAAAATCAATCTTTTAATCGTCTAATGTAGTGTTTCAGTGATATATTTCGCTGCACTTAAATCGCTCTGCTAAAGTAAATCAGTAAGGAATCGCAATTTTTTTTTTGGTAATCATTCACTTTATTTAGACATCTGACATTCTTATATAGATACAATTGTACAATCATGTAAATAATAAATTTATTAGTACGATTGTTTTAATTAGATATACTTTAGGTATTATTTACCAAACTCCCGAAGCAAAGAGTTCGCTTTTAGATCAGATTAGTAAACAATTCTTGGGAGTTTTTTTTTTTCGTCTGAAAAGAGTTAACTTAGTCTTTTGTTTGGGTTTCGTTTTATTACAAATGTTGTTGTTTTAGAGAATTTTAAATGGTGTCGTGGTTTCAAAATCATACTTTTAATATTAGATGTATGTATGATTGTTTAGAATAAAATATTCACTGCATTGGAAACCTTTATCTGATAATTGCTCATGTAAACGTGTGATGTCGGAGCAGCTGCCTTCAAGAAATTTTTTTTTAATTGTGACAAATATTTCTGCAAAAGTCGCGCACGGCTGAAAGTTAGTACTACGATTTGGTTACTTTTGTGCGAATTTCGTTAAATACAACTTAAAAATCGATGTTTTTTTTTGTGTATATTATTAAAATTATAAACAACCAGCCATTTTATTCTACGAGCTTAGATCGAAACAATTCAACTACTATTTGAGAATTTTTACAAGCGTCAAATTACTCGCTCATAATTTCATTCATTTAAGATGAAATGATTTTTTTTTTTAAGCTTAAACTTAAAACATAATGCGTACAAAATAAATTTTGAGTTTTTTTTTTTTTTAATTTAAGAAATAAAAGTATTGCTACGTCGGAATTTCGAATATGCCCTCAATAGCCTCAACTAGGTTGCCACCGCATTGCTATTCATTTGAACCGCTTCATCAGTACCGTTACAAGTGGTAGCAGCACTAGCGCGACGTAGGGCGAGAAGGCGCTGGCGCCATTACATCCATCTGTGCTACACGTCTGACAGAAGACCGTTTTGATGTAGGACGAGGTCGTTTCGTGGCCGCAGCGATCGGAGGAATCGTCGTAGTCCTCGTAGAAGCAAGAGCGCGAAATGACACGCTTACCGTAAACTGTAAAGAAAAAAATAGGCAAAATGTAAAGAAATGTAGAATAAAATTGTATGGATTAAAAAAAAAAAACAATTAATTAAAAACGATTTGATTGAAGTTTTTATTAGTGGTTGGTAAAAAAAAGACGAAAAATCGACCCTCTCACCGGCTAAATTTTCTGAACAGCTATTTTTCCCCATTTAAGTAATACACATTTGGGTTGTTCACGCTTGCCTGGTTATCAGGTTATCTGGTTATGTGGCTATATTTTTCACTCAGTTTACGACGATAACATACACTACGGAATAATAATTTTTAACCAGATAACCTGATAACCAGACAAGTGTGAACAACCCAATCGTAAATATGAAACAGATCGGATGATAAATACGGATTTTCCAAATATCTCGACTCCTCCGCCACCTACCGGATACCTTTTTCTTTCTTTCGTCTTGTCGTCTTGCTTTGTTATTGGGTTCTGAGTTATGTTGAAGTTTTAAAGCTTGTAAATGGTATGCAATAACTTCATTTCGATTTTCGAAAAGAGGCGTTCTAATGGCGTCTGAATTTTTATACGAGAAGAATTAAATTTTACCACCACCTGGTAGGGCCCAGGCTTCTGCAACAACTAACATTCAATCTCGTTTTTCTCACAACAACCACCTGCCGAAGGCTTACCAAAATTGTAGCCGCCAAAAATTTATTTTATTAATGTCTCATAAAAGTATCCAATAATAAAAGTATAAATTTTTCACGCGCTTGCAGCTGAATGATATTTATTATTGTCATTTAAATGCAAAGTGGCCCATTATGTAACATAAAAATGTCCAAATAAACAGGCGCCGGTCTTATAAATTTGCACAAAGATTTACAAGATTTGTGTAAACTAATGTTTTTTTGGTTTCTGTACGATTTTTTATCGGCAAGCATTTGTTGGTGCGATTCTTTTCTTGCGTAGATTGCAGCGAATAAATATTGCATTGGTCACTTTGGGGCAACGGTAAACAAAGGGTCATTCAAACAGTTTTGAAAAAAACTTTGTTTATGCTGTGAACAGAATTACCAGAAAATTTTTAGAAATGGCTAACAAAGAGAGCCAACATGGTTTTGATCAATGATACGGGAAGTTTCAATAATTAAAAAAGCTCCATTTGACACCACCACCATACATAATTGAAACACCCTGTATAAGCTCTGGCACACGAAAGTACACACACACATACATACATATGTATGTTCATGCGAGTGCGAAACATGGCGCATGTTAACTGACATTTAAAATGTCATTTGACTGTCAATTTTACAACTTAAAACTTATGCAAATTTTGCTTATTAATACAAAAAAAAAAAACTAATAAAGCTACTACTCGTACATAAAAGCACTGAAATGCACCAACAACGCATGTGAGGGTATATGTATGTAACGAAAATGTTTAATAATAATACAATTACTTCTAAATTTGAATTTTACATACATCTACAAACATAAATTGTATGCCAAAAGTAATGGTTTAAAATTTTGTATATTCGGTAATATTTTTAATGGTACTTTTGTACCATACATAAATTTGTATAACATAATATTTTTCTAAAGATAATCCTTAATTAAATTCGCTTGCAATTTAATTTATTCTATTCTTTCTTACAGTGTTTATGCGAAATAATACTGAGCCACGTCGACTTCTCTTTACTGCTGGTCTTGTATCCAATAAGCCAGCCAAATATTTCCAACTTGGCTCAAATTAACTAAATTCTTGGCTTACGAAACGGATTGACAAACTTTTAAGTGACAGCTAACATGGCTGAGAATCTCTAACGTTTGCTGTTTTATTTTAAGTGGAAAACAAATGCGTTGAAAAAAATTAGCTTGCGACCATAAATTGCAACTTGCACTGCCTTAAATGGTTGAAACGGTTAATGCAACTCCAAAAGCCCAACACCAAAAACCGGCAAAGTGATTGCAGTGCGTAAGTATGTATGTGTGTGTGTGTGTGTGTTGTATTTCGGTACGGTAATTGCATATCGTGTGATGCTAGCTAGTAAATGACAAACTAGCTGGTAGTAATATTTAATACTTAATAATAAAAATCATACAATTAAATTTAGAAAACCAAACACCAAAATAAATTAAAATTTTGTGAAGAAAAAAATAAACTTGTAATGCTTTAAAACAAAAAAAAACTAACGGTTATTTTTTAGGTTGCCGATTTACAGCCGTGGAGGAAGCACAACAGCTGTCACTTGGCATCACTTGGAAATTTTAGTTTCTAAGAGGAATCGACATTTGTGTCCAAAAATCATAATTACTATTCTTTATTAGCAGACAATTGGCAATTACTTAGTACCGGCGGCAACAAAACTAAGCAACAAATGCACAATGCATTTTTGCCGATTATTTTTCTCGTAGTCGCTCAACTGTCAATCGTCTCGCTAGTTTATTACTCGCTTTGCCGTCGGCTGATTGTTGTTGGTTTTGTGGAGAATTGAAATTGTGATTGCAATTCATGTTGTTGTGATTATTGCACCCATTACTGGCGGCACAACAACTTAATTATGTTTTCTAAGGAGCCCCCGGTTAGCTACAGAGCTCAGCAGCTGCGTCTTAATATTTTTAATATTTTTATTTATTTTTTTGTTAAGTATTTTGATGCCGTTGATCTATAAATGTCGACATGAAACTAATTTCTGATTGTACGGACGAGTGTGTGTGTGACTGTTACCTCAATTTGCTGCTTGTGTAATTACACACTAATAAAAGCGTAGTACAGTTATTGTGTATATAAATAAATAAATTATGTACGTCAATCTGGTTTGGATTTGACTTTCGGGCATGAAAATTAATTGAGTAATTTTTGTGGACGGTAATGAACATAGGTAGTCAGAATTTAGTGTTCGTTAAAAAACGATTTCTGCACGGAGCCTTAATTAGTGGATACAAAGAATGGAAAAAGGCAAAATCGTAAATTGTGCTCTTCAAGTTCTGATATCAACGACACATCTTAAGAGTATTTCGATGGAAGTTAACGGGTCTGGAACCCCAATACAAGGGGCTCCCGAAAAATGGCAATACAAATCGGCAAGCGTACACCAGCATCCATGTCTGTCTGTCCGTCCGTTCACACAATAATTCGAGTAAAATATGAGATATCTGAACGCAATTGGTTACGTATGGTAAAATCGGACAGTAAGCACGGCCACCTTTAGGGATGGCAAAAAAAAAAATAAAATAATCGATTAATTTTTCATATGATTAATCACAAGCCAAAAAAAAATTAATTGCAACTATTGAGAAATAAATGATTAATCGGATATTTAAAGACACTTTTTTAGAGTGAGTATTCACAAAAACACTTTCCCATAAAAAAAAAAATCCTCTTGTTAATTAGCCTTAAATAAACTAAAACGAGTATTTTTAGTTGCGATATTTATTTATTATTTACCCAAGTTTGCAAAAACCGAAGCTATGATCAGCGTTTTGTTGTTAAGCGGTTGCGTTAATCGGGCGCTGAGATGGCACCGAGGTACCAACTAAATGACAGTACTTTTTCGAAAGTCCGTAAAGTTTTGGGTAAGCAGTTTTCATTTCCTACCAAGCGTCATTGATATTCCGCTTTGGTTCTAGGACTTGACAATTTAAATAAAAACTCATTTCATCTTCAAATCATCATCTTTTCGCCTTCGTTTGTGTACAAAAGATTTATGAGGAGCCTACATATCGAACTCATTTTCTACTGATTCTAGTGGCACATTATTTAAGTGCAAGAACTTCATTACAAAGGCCAATACTAACGGATCACTGAAATTAATTCCTTAGAACCTCGGGTCGAGTAAAGTTGATGCAGCTAGCAAAAAAGAATTTCCGATGGATGGATTTTAGACAAGTACAGAATTCATATTTCTTGAATATATTTTTACGATTATTTTACAATTCATCGATTAATAATCGATAAATGAAACACAGAACTACGATACAATTAAATCGACAATCGTAAAAAAATAATCGATTAATTTAATCAAATGATTAATCGCTGCAATCCCTGCACACCTCTCATATAACGGTATTGTCGAAAAATCCTAAAACTACGATATATCCGCTAAGACTGAATACAAATTATTGAAATTTGGAATCTGAAATAGAATTTTGGGATAAAATAAGACAGTTATGCAATATGTGAAAAATGGGCGTGGCATCGCCTAATTGTAGTTAAATGCTGTATCTCAGTAGCCGCTTTATCAAACCCCCACAAACTCGGGTAGGAACATTGCTAAGGGTGTCACTTGGAAACTCGTTGAAAATTCCTGAAATCAGGCCCACTACGAAAACTTCGATATTTCAATAAATAAAGACGTGAAATTACTTGAATTTATATCAAAATTAAAGGGTTTTTGAAAAGGGCCAAGACAGCAATAACTTACGACTACATAAATGTATATCGATAACCGCTTAATCGATTTCCAAAAAACCTGGTGCATTTATTTCAATAAGTATGATATGGCTTATTATCCAAAATGTTTAAAGAAAAGTGAAAAAGCGATATTTAATACGTGCGCTGGTTATATAAAGTTCGGTTTCGCGCAAAGTTATACTTCTTTACTTGTTTTTTGATGAAAGTATAGCTCGTTATATATCGAGCCCTAACCGCCAAAATAACGTAAGCGACATTTTTTTCAAAATTTTATTTTTGATGTAGAAATGCATGTAGATGCTCTAGGAATATTTCTGCATCAAAAAGAAAATTTTAATAAAATGTCGCTTGCATTATTTTGGCGATTAGGGCTCGATATGTAAGCCCGATGTTTAAACTTTGTACAAAAATTGGTATAAAATTTTCAAAATTTAAATTATAATATTTAGATGTACTATCAGCTTTAGTCTGGCCAACGCAGCATAAGTTTGGGTTGGCTTACAATTGATTTGTCTCCTTTCAAAGAAACCCTTTTCTCAGGCAATGAATGCTATCAAAATTCTCATGGATTATTTAAAATATTGGACCAGGAAGCGTCTGGACGATGACAAAATTTGTTGAG